GTAAATAGATGATACACGAGAACCTACGGTAGGAATCCACATCTCGGTACAGCGCTCCGATGCCCTTATCGCCAGGTGATAACACTGCAACCAGAATTTAGCTGTGATGCATACGAATCACCCACAAAGCTCAAATCTGGACTTTATAGTCCATATCTCCTCGAGCTATATATATATATATATAATAGATGCTATAACCTACCAGACAACAACACGTCACAGGAATCGCGACTTACTTTTCGTGTGTATTATTCGCAAACAGGCGGGATGCCCTCTACTGCGTTCAAGGTAACCCTTTTTAAACCGCAATGACTAGTACATCCAATGTCTGCTTACGCCTGGAATTACCAACAGCCGACGAGGTCTGGAACATCTTGGCTGGGCTAATATCTTGTGGTATAATCCCTTGGAAGAAAATCGCCTTACTTTTGGTTATCAGATTCAATAAACAGCTGATGTATGGTCGCTTACCGGTTAATTACAGTCTGCCGACAAAAATATCATATGCTTATGTCCTGATGCCTTACAGTTGAGCTTATTTTCACTTTATTCCGCAGCCAGTCGGAAGAACATCATGTTACTTGCACAACACGATAAACAAAACACCACGAAATACCAGAAAACAGTCTATTATTTTGCAGCATGACCTGGAAACAAGATATGATAGACGACAACCTACTAATAGCTTTTTGTTGTAAATCTGGCCAAACGCCGGTATAACCATAGCAAGGGCATACCAAAAATGCCTTTTTATCCTCAAACATTTTACACACAGTAGGCTCCTATGGCGCTCCCCCCGCTGTGTGTCCTTCATGGGGATACACGATAATCACGTCCCATGGAATCAGTTACTGGTGGTGCCACGTCACTAGTGTTATCCAATAACTATATAAAATCTGGCAACTCTTAAGGTTAAGAATTGAAATCCTTCTTCAAACATTGCCTTGTACTAATAGTGTCACTTCTGCATTCTCCGCACCTGATGCGTGCAGTACTGCGCACCCAGTAGTAGGTATTTTTCTTCAACACCACCAGATTTCGAGCACCGATAGAACATGTTTTATACCATATAAAATACAATTTTTATCACGCTATTTGATCATAATGGTACCATTCGAAAATAAATTTCCATAGCCCGTGCGGTACAAAATATTTCATCTTGGTATGTCGTGCCGGTTTAATAAGTGCATTAAGATATACGAAGTAAGAACCAATCAACTATCATACCCTGAGTTCTATGTTATGCAAAGCGATTTTTAGGAAATTAGGATTGTAACGCCATGGTTTTTAAGTGCAAAAAATTATAAACAAATCTTCGGATGTGGCAAAATAGACCAGGCGGGGAGTAAAACAAGACCACTGTTAAAATTCTAATCTCTGTCAGAATGAATCAAGAATTCGTCTCCAAAGCAGTTTATGCGATAAAAAATAAGACAGTTACTTGCTTTCACAGTGCGACTACAGCATGGATTTTGTATTAATTCTGCTAAAGAATTCATGTGCCTATTTCAAGAAGACGAAGCACAAAACACCAGCGTTCCAGGATGAGAGTCTAGAACTGGCCTCTAAACCTTTACCTGGTTGATTTATAGGTGTCTCGCTCCAAAAATATATACAACTGCATAATAACAAAGCGTTTGGACCTGCCTGTTGTATTAGATAAGGATAGGGGCCTCTTCTAGCACTGTTTGAGTGAAACAACATAATACCCACACCCGTACGTTTGGTTCTAAAGATTTACTGAAACTTGGTTTCACACCCTGAATCACCGACAAATCGTTAAACAATCCAGCCAAAGATAGCTCAATGGTTAAGGCACAAAATTATAGACCTTATGGCCCGTGGTTTGAATCTAACCTTGACGTCCTTACTGCACCTGACTGAGTTTGAAAATATGGGCAGTATCAAAGCAATCTCGTTTTATCTCGGTGACATAGCAGCTGTGCGCCAAAAGGGTGATAGAGGTGAACGATTTTTTAAGAGATTTCAATTTTCGATCGCCATCAACAGCAGCCACTACCAGCCAATTCCGCAGAATGCTGCAGAAACCTTAACGTGCATGATTATATTTGTGCAGGATCTGTGAAAAATTGGCTCTCCTCAAAGGACTTATATCTACCTACCCACAAATCGCTGTCAATGCGTTGTTTTCTGAAAATCCCATGGCAAGATTTTTTGTGCATAGGTAATTTTTGCGTGCAACATTTTGTTGAGACTTAATACACTTTCCCCAGTAGCCACTTCCTATCACCGATAAGAGACAAAAGCACTGACCGAAAGATAAGTGGTTTGAACCCAGCCGCTGCCTCTCGACTTCCATGTTTGGGCAGCCGCGAAGTATTCCGGTCCTCGTGCCTATTTTCTGGTGGCAGGGCAGCTAGTACCGGAAGGATGCTACAGCTGAACGACTATCTTTTTCGAACGACTGATAATGATGTTTTACCTGCATGATAGTGCAAATCGGATGGTTTGAATGCGGAATATCCTAACCAGCACCACTACCACAGTTTCTATAACGCGGAGGCATATAAACTTATGTTTCCGGCCCCATCTTCCTTTCTGGTGGAGCCAATATTCGAGGCATACATAGTACCATAGCTACCATGAGAATCAAGTATTGCGCTCGTATTTGAGTCATACAGAATTGCTTATCTAAATATATGGCCAGAACCAGTAGGTCAGTTTACACTTACAACTGGTACAAATGGGGAGGGGGGGGGGTATATGTTTTGAACGGCACACATAAATAACGACCTGGCCGATTCGGACAAAAATTGAGTTGTGAGTACCGGTGTTTTTGGTAGAACTATTGCAAACAAACAGGTGAATATCTTACTGAGAAAAAGACAGTATCATAGGATCGCAGTCAATTCATCCATTTTGTAACCTAGAAAAAGGAGAGATCTTCAGCCCGCTGTAGATAAACGAAGAACCATGTGCAGCTTGTGTCTTGCGAATGAAGTTTAATAAGGACTAGCTGGACAGCAGGTGATATTTAACCATAACCTGAATTAAATTCGTGCACTACCCTGCTATCGCCGTTGCAATGATTGCTGCTGCACATAGCTTCAAAAATGAGCAAGTACTGGCCATTATTTATGAACGAGAAGTTATCGTTTCAGAGCACCACAGCCTATAAACTTCTGCCTGTCTCTGCGCTGGGTGATCGTAAGCATACTGAATCACCTGCTCTTAACTGCCCTTATGAAGACAATTCTCACATTCACTGAGCAAGGTTCTGCCTTGAGATCTTCAATCTCATCTCATATGGTCAGTATTTTTGCAACGAATTTCACGCTCTTTTTTCAACCTGCGTCTCGATGAAAACTTTTTAGCGAAAGGTCCTAAGACAGTCAACTGCCAGTTCTCAGGGACTCCTTTGTCAATCCGGTCATCATAATCATGATGATGAAGTCTACCTAAGGCCTACCACTAAGTTGGATAACGGGCCTCTCCATGATCAACACTCCGCTTCGAATCTGGCTAAAACATGGGGAAAGGGAGCACATTAACGGAAAACCTAAAGGCCCATTGCCTTACCATATACAACTCTATACACACTCTGTAGAACAGTATATGTTCAGCCTCTGTTACAAGAGACGGTAGGCCCAGATACCGTAGCTTTTTAGTTTTAACCACCGCAATGGCTCCACTGAGATTTTTCGGTGAAGTGTATAATTGTCACGTGTATCCGGAGAATAAATTAAAGTGTTACTGAGTTGTCTTAATGAAAGTGCTATACGCCGCGTTCCGCTTGCTAGCCACATTTCTTGTCATCCAACTACTTAATGGGACTGGTAGTTAGGTTGTGCAACGTTACTAGGCCCCGAGCCCCAAGAGAATAACCAAAATGTTTATATTCACCTTAGGAGAAGTGTAATTAATCTCGGGAGATGTGGTTCACACGGGGTGGTTTTTGCTGCTTTGCGCCACTATGGATCTGTCAGATTACCCGACAGCTTACAGTACACATCTTCGCCGATAAGCCTATCAGTCATGCCATCTTGTGCCGAGTAACTGATTAGGCAATGTCACCGTACAGGTTTACATCCACTGATTCACTATGGTCCAGTAAGCTCGATAATCCTATGTTCTCGGAGGAAAGCAGATAAAAGTAGTCCGGCTGAATTTCGTGTTTTGAGATCCACTAAATACAGTTCCTCATCTCTACTCGATGGCTGGTAAGTATACAGTACTCATCACCCGGTGATGAAAATAGTGTTCCTTTTGACGCAGCTGAGTCTTTTAGGGAGCATCCGAAACTCATCTTCCTTGTCATGTATCTTGTTTTGTCTGTGAAAGGACCCTGGTACTGAATCGTAATTAGGCTTCGTTCTGAGAAAAAGAATATATATTTTGTGACTTTTCAGTTTGGACTGTGCTGAAGACGCATCACTGTCACTTCTAAATGTACTTTTATTGTGCGCCACTAACAGTTTTACGAATGATCGATGCACCTCGCACTGCGCGTCACAGTGGAGCGCGCAATTAGGTTTTCATCTATAACATTGAGTCCTCCACCTTTCCGGACGTAGAATTTTGACTTAAGAAAACTATTTTCTTGCTATCTGTGTTGGACTATGACCATAAAATAGGTAACTTGATTAGTGATGTGTTATTGTTTCTTTTTCAAATAGACACACTGATATTTCTCAGGTGGAAAATCTGCACAAGGAAGCCTCGGATACTGCGTTGGTCACCAGTCTACGTTACTTTTTCCGTGCTGGAAAAATGGAAAGCGGAAACAAAAAGCTCAAAACAGCATCCCCGCGAAAAATGTCAAAGGATCTTGGGAAAGCTCAAAGCATGAGTTTTCCAGCCAAACTTTATGGACAAATACAGGTAATGCAGCCTCGAGGCGACGAAATCTGTGAGGGCTCTCTCGCACTGCTGAAAGCTCGTCTACTGATAACGAAAAATGGAAAGAAACAAGTCTCCATTGAAGTGCTTCCATCGGTAATACACATAAGGGAACGGAAGGTTGCGGTAAGTGGTGTAGAGTATGAATCTGACAACATCTGATTATTGTGTAAACTTGTCTCTAGCGTGCGATGCGTTACTAAAATCAACCCAGAAAAGACTACATTTCTTCGGTCCACTGAACAAGGTAACTTACGTTACACAAAATATCTGAAATGGAAAACAACCACTGTGTTGTATGAAGGAGTAGGTGCTAGCAAGAAAAATCACGCTAAGTACTATAATGCATTAAAGTCGATTTGTCAGCAACAATTTAGCTGGCTTTATTTCAGACTACTACTTTTTGGTGCTGGATGAGAACGCCTAGCACTCCAATGTAATAGAAAATTTATTTTTCCTATGCATTTGAGTAAGCATAACGTCGTTGACACCATGGTCATACATACATAACAGCTGGTCTCAGCTTTACTTAGGCAGGTTTACCGCTAAAGTACATCCTTCGCGATCCACTGAATGCACTGGGTCAAACCTTATTTGGTGTCCAGAGAGAAGTTAGTCACCGTCCACAATTTAATGAAATCTGAGAAAATTCGAATAATACATGTCCCCGGGGGCTCCTATGAAAACATTGGAATTAGAATTACCTAACGAAAGTAAGTGCGGAACACCAATAACACTATGTTCGCTACCATTTTCATTCAACCCCGTATCCAAGTTTTCGTGATGCCTGCACACAATGTACACAGGATAAACTGCGTATCTGGTTTTTCGCAGGAATATAGTGGGACAACTTAGAGTTGAGTCGTTTTATACTCGACTCTTACTGAGTAGAGTCACAAAGGGATCTCCGTTCACCCCTGCCGATCATGTCTCATTTCAGCATGGTGCTCAGTTATTTTTACTTAATTTCCTCTCGGATGTTATGCATCTCACTCCTGGGCGATGGTCACGAGACAATGAACATCTTTCTCCTAGCCACCTCCTTTAACATTTCATTGCAATCTTGGCTGAGCAGTTAACCGCCTTTATTTACCTATAAAGCGAACCTTCCGATGATTAAAGAACTCATAACGAGAATACAGGTTGGATGGGCATCCGAACAAAATTAGTAGCGATCAGTAGCGACATGCCGTCAAATAGTAGAAAAAAGGGATATTTTTTAGGAATTTACTTGTTTTAAACCAGCGTTGCAGCAAGAAGAAGGCTGGTGGCATCTGGGCAGAATGTCACTGTTGTGCGAGTTTTTAATTTGATCTGGATTGAAGGCTGTGTATACCCAGTGCACCTGTTCACTTTTCAACATAATAATGGTTCATCAACCAAGATAAAGTCTGGTCGTCCATCTTATAATGACGATTGTTGAACGCTTGTAAGGTTTTATGTAACTAGAAGTTTTGCCTTGTAAGCGATCCTTAGTAACTCGAATGGATGAAAGTTATATCAGCTCTGGACACGAAGAAAGCCGCTGGAAAAGTTGTCCATTTGTGTAGAGATTGCGTTAAGAAGCATTTCATTCAGATGGGAGCGTATACTGGTGTACCCGTGCCTCGGAATCCATGGTTTTCTGACGCCACTTGCTGTTGGCTGATAAGTACCATTCCGAATGAAAAAAATCGACATAGTATTATGACCTGAATCATTATTATGTTGCTCGGTCTTGCCAGTGGCATTGAGAGATTCGAGCCTGAACGAGGCTTTCTATGGTTACATTAGATTTGAAGCGGACATGATCTTCATGCAGTTCGACGGAGCGTTCGTTATGCATTAATTCTCTTAAATTTTACGCTCTTCTCTTGTTAAAAAACAGTCCACATTAGGTGGATATATAAGTGAGTTCACTCTCATGTAATTGTAAAAATACGCCAACTACACCTTATTCTCCTCTAGAACAGCCCAAAGATTTTATTCAGTTTTGAGGTGTTGACAGAGGTCGCTCTTTGACTCACTGTTGAGCTGTTGCCTGCCTTTCAATAAGGACCGGCGGCGCACACCTCAGGAACTTGAAGGTAGATTCTAACCTGTAAACTTTGAGTAAGTAGCTGAATACTAAAATGTTCGTTCACGATTTTTCGACAGTCGTTGTGATCGACTTCCATTAACACAAGATACTGCGTCACAAAGCTTCAGTTGTTCAGTACATGTCATGTGCTCCGATGTTGGATAGTTCTTCCAGTGACAACTTCCCAGATGAAAGATCCACGCACAAAATGGGCATCCGGTTGTTATCGCTTCCATTAACACAAGATACTGCGTCACAAAGCTTCAGTTGTTCAGTACGTGTCATGTGCTCCGATGTTGGATAGTTCTTCCAGTGACAACTTCCCAGATGAAAGATCCACGCACAAAATGGGCATCCGTTGTTCGAATCTCGTTAGTAGTTTCGCTTATATGAAGTTTGAACACTCAGAAATATATCTAGAGACCGAATGGTTGCTGGTGATAGGCTTGTTTGTTTGTACGTATCGCCAGAGCATCGGAAAATGTGGAGTGCTGGTGGGAACAGAGACTAACGACTTTCAATCACAGTTTGATTTATTAGCTTGTTGGTTATTGTTCCATAAGTATTTGATATACATTTGAAAATCTACAGTTTGCCAGCAGCTCACTAAATTACCCAACATTCTAGTATTCATTTGGACACACAAACATGTACATTTTTGCGGGATCCTCAAATTTCCTGGATCAAATGTAGAAAATGATCAACATGTCTGATCGATTTATTATTCGTGCAACCATCCTATTCCATTGCCCTGTTTTTCAAAAACCCCTTATCCCAGGAACCCATTTTCACGCACTTCGTAAATGACATCACTTATGTGTGGACCGATATAACAAAGAACGATGTTTGCGGGCTAATTGTGAAACAACCAATTTCGGATGAAAATTCGTATCTGTTTTTTGGTTACAAAATGAAGAGCAACGTGAGCAATTATTTTCGTTATTTTTACGTTTGGATCAAGCACACAACTCTATTCTGAATTTTCTCGAGCCTTGCCACGGTCGTGAGGATGTTAGAAGTTCATTATATCTCGTGAGCAAAATGATCTATGCTTTCAGAAGGTCCATTTTGATGGTACGAAAGCTCTTGAACCCTTAGAAACGCAGACAACAGTGGCCCAAATCGCACTAATGAAGAGCGGAAGCTGAATAGTGTTACTCCTAAATTATTCAACATTGTACCAGTTTATCCAATCACATTCCTAATAGAAACGGCATTTTAAGCAGCCCAGTTTGTGAACAACCATGCCTAAGATCACATAGCTCAGGGCAATTTTCGGTTCGACTTCAGTAAAACAACACTTGGTGCGCTGTACTCTGACCACAAGGTTATCTTTCTGAATTCTGTTATGTATGGAGCTTTCCCTTCCCATACATTTTTCCTATAGATGCTGTGAATGCCCACTTCTTCATATTTGACGTGATTACTTTTGATAGACGTCACAGCCAAAGATGAATATTCAGAAAACTAGATGAAAACCGTGTCTCAAGAGTCACCGATACTCAACTTCCATCTATTTCTTAGTGAGGTTTGGACGGAAATGGTCAGAAGAGCCAGCCGAAATTAGTGGCCTTTTGTTTATCGCTACCTTGGGAAGTTCCCTTAGCACGGGAACTGAGTGTTACAGCTCTCAATATACTTTCTTTAGTCCATATCAAGGTGCGGAAAATCAGTTTTCCCAAAATTTTACGCATTTGTTTGTACGTTCAGACCCTACCAAGGGAGCTTGGAGGTGCTTTATCTAACCTACATATAGGAATAGCAAACCGCTTCAAGTTCTGCTCTGAAAATCCTTGCTCGCGGCAATTTTTGAAAAAAGAATGGATTTGAGTTTCGATTTTGAAAATCACTTTTCGGAAATCTCCAGCGACTTGATTCAGTCATTTTCCCCATGCAAATCAGTGGTTCTGAGACTTTATTGCCCATTTTCTCTCACCGTCCTCATCGCTGAAAGCAATGCATTAGTAATCCATATTGGTGCTTAACCGCCCATCACCCCGTGGCTTTCAATGCCCGAAACCCATGCCCCGCTGTAAAAGTCATCCAAAGAAGGCCATACTTTGGACTATTCGTGGAAGAATTCATTTCAGGATTAATTGTTCGACCTCTTCAAAATTTGGCCACCTCAAGTATTAGTATGTACCTGGCGAACACCTGATGCAAAAACAATTCCTGATGCGTTGCATACCAGCTCATACATGTAAGGCTGACTGTTACTCCGGAAAAGGATCGATATCGTTGGACTGGAATGGGTGTACTTAGACACCGCAACTACGCTGAACATTTTGTTCACTAGATACTATTTGGAAACGCACTACGTGAACTCTCGTCTTAGGTCGCAACCCAGAATAGCGTTCACACAGTTACTCATACAGCTAATATCCCCAGAGCACCCTACTGAACAGGGACCTTAGTAAAGTCATTCACAACTACGTAACAACTGTCAACAGTGATCACGTCCGCACCGTTCCACAACGCCTTTCCCAGTGAACTTTCTTCCACAACCTCCTACAGCCCCTCATCCACTCCGTTGAGAAATGTTGATATTGTTTGTTGCTTTTCCAATTTTTTCAGCCAAAGTCTGAAGCCTATTTAATCTTTTGCTTGTTCCAATTTATTTTACAGTCAACCAAACTAATTGGAGCCTTGAAACACATATTAATGGGGCACATATCTGCCCCGTTGGATGTTAAAGCGGTGAGTTTTCGAACTATTAGCTAGCCAATCTTCGGCTTATGAGTTTGTGATTCAATCATGAGTGCCTGTTTTACTCCTGTACACTTTCTGAAATCTTGAAACTAGAAGATCTGTCGAAAACTAGAATAAGAGTATGAACAACACAGCGAAACCCAACAGTTTCCGATATCCACTTAAAGTTTCGGCGTAAGCAGCACTTTCTTTTAGTTTCTTATTTTATTCGCTTAGTCTACAAGGCTGATCTTTTCCATTCCATTGATCTGCATGTAAAATTATCAAAAAGTTGTACGCAGACAGTGAGCATTTTGTCATCTTTGCAGTTTTTAGACAGATCAAGTTGGAAGTGGCATTACTGTTCAACTTTGATGAAATTCCGGCTAATTTGATTTGCGCTTCTACCTATTGACTCTATGCACACTAAACTCTACCAAAGCAATGTCTACCTGGTGAAGGTTTCTTATAGCCTGTGAGTGGATTGGGAGTGATTCTCCATGTTAACGACACGACAGTGTTCAGGCCTCGGATCAGCTGTGAGCGAGTTATAAACACGTGATAAAGCACATGAGCTTACTGCATCTCAGCTCCCTGTCGCTGATTCGAGGGAAGCCGAATGACCCACCAATAGCCCGGTTTTGTCCAGCTACCTGCGTTCTACTGATCAAGGCATGATCAGGATAAACGTCTGCCAGTTTTTTCGTAGATAGTCCAAGAGGATCGTAGGAGAGCAAATGTCGACTTCGCCCTGTCATCGAAGGAAACCGAGGCTTAGGTGAAAGCGCGCCAAACAGACGTTTCTCAAAGCCGTTTACAGCGGTGTGACATAAATATCTAAACAAGTGGTAGTAAGATGCAATACACTGGGAACTCGCTGGGAACTCTTTGACGGTCCACTACCGGTTATGACCGTCTTAGTGCTCATCAGGTAGGCGCAGTCTCCGAGTTCCCGTCAACCTACTTGAACTAACATTGAACGAACTTATCAAAGTGCAGTCATTTGCATATCAGTTTGGCTATGACGGGAGACTCACCTGGAACCCAGCTATACATTTCGATATATGTATCGTGATATCTCAAATAAAGTGCCAACTGAAACATGAGGCGGCCAGCTGCAACACATTCAATCGCCTAGAAACATCATAAACGAGGGATTCAGCTGGGCTCCAAGTGACGCTCCCGTCAAAACCAAATAGGTATGCAAGTGATTGTATTTCGCTAAGCGTCGGTGAGCTTTTTTCCAGAATGTAGCATTACAAAGTAAATGACTCCCTTTGAGCGTCTGGTTTCCCATTGGAAGGACAAAAGCAGATTTGTTTCGGCGGTACTTTTCAGTACGAACGTTCCACGTGACCTATCAGAAACACAACCTTAGTGTTGAAATTCCTGACCTAGTTAGGGACGACTAATTAGCACTGTATGTTCCATTCGTTCAACTTTCATTGGGCTGGGAACAAAATATTCATGAGACATTATGAACCCTCTTATTCTTCTTACACGTGCCTAGAAAACTCAGTTTTTGAAGGGCATGGGTCGTAGATTGTACTGTTGGCGAAAACCAGGGAAACACCAAAGTTCCCGTCCATTTTGTTTGAAAAATAGGCCCATGACACAAGAAAAAATATTACGCCCCGTGACAGTGGATGCAGATTTCACATGGTTTGGAGCCGCGACATTATTTCAAGAAACAAAAGAAACGCATACAAACAGGAACGTAAGGAATTCGCGTCACACAAAACTCCAAAGGATATCTAATTCCAAAGCACAGTGCGACTGAGCCAATACACTGTAGTTGTTTTTTCTATATATAAATTTGACCCAGGTATTAGAATAGCAGAAGATTACCCTCACAACGGTATTTTGATTATGAATAAAATTGTCTAATATTTATTAACCAGTGAGATATAAGGTTCCCTTCTATTGAAGTTACTTATCTAGAATCGGAAATATTCTTGCAAAAAGCCCTTAAGCGTAGAGATATTGAGACTATAGGTTACTTAATTAAACAGTTTATTGGACCTCAAAATATATTCGAAGACAACCAGTCATTCTAGGTTTACACAGCTTATCAAATTTGCGGAACTGACATCCAAATAATTTCACAATAAGAGACTACTTTTCCAAACGGGCTAGTCAAATCTGAGCCTTCTGAACTAAAGCTTTTTCTCTAAACGTTTTTCTGTATGAATTGACCACACTGCTTACTTGAAGAGTAAGGGTTCGAATTTCGCATCCTCAATTAGGATGCAGCAGGTGTACAGTGATTCTTAGTCCCTCACCATAGACTGACTTCACTTGAGGTCTGTGATTAATAGTCAGTAGTATGGGACTTCAACAACGAAGTTCGCATCACTCAGACGACAATAACTAACATTAGTTTGAATATCCGTTCAGATGAAACCTTGCTCGGTTCATACTGCAAGTATTCCAGCCTTGTTATGGCTTTTCTTTGTCCCCAAACAATTATGTTTTTCATCTTTTCTTCGAATGAATCCTCTGTGCATTTGTTTGCCTGAATAGGGATCTGAAAACGAAACTCTGATTGAATCAGAACCAGGGATTGGAGATCTGTTGAATCTGGATGAAGTCGGTGCAGATGTCGTGAAGCCAGTACCAGTTGGACCATTATTGATTGCACCTCCAAATCAGCTTGGAATTCCTAAAAGTACACAGGTAATTTTTAAGCGTATTTCCCAGCATACTAGAATATCTCTGTTTGGACTAAATAATTTCCAGCAGAACAGACTGTGCCTTATTCGAACAATAGGTTAATGAAGCAGCTCGGAACACCTCAGTGTTTAAGGCACGAAATTACTGATCGGATGGAGATTAGTTCAGAATCAGCTGTAGCTTCTCGGTTGCTCCTGCAGGTAACATGACAGTATCTGAGCCCTTGTGCTACCTGTGGGTAGTGCGGCAGCTGGGATAATACGACTAAACCTTATTACTGACAAGATAGAAATCACATAATGTTATCATCAGTCGATGGCTTTGTCTGAGTTGCGATAAACGTACACTGAACAAATTGAACCGAAGATGATCCCTGACCAAATTCTAGTATTCTCTCCCTAAACAAAACATACCCATGAAGTGTTCTGCCGACGTAAACGAATGTGGCACTTTTAGCCCGTATAAAAAACCATGTAAATTTCTACCATGACAATTATAAAAGCATCCGTCTTTGTTTGCAAACCTGTAGGTTCAATGCGACGAGCTATAGTTATACTTTTGGATAATTGTTTGATTCTAGTCTCTCCGTAGGATTCCAAGAAAACCCGGTTTTATCACAAAATTTGCTTGTAAATGTGAGTCTTAACTTATCATCACATCTGCCAAAATTGTGCCTCGAACTCGGGGAGTCTCTTAGGCATTATTTAATTATCAGGGACATCTGGCTGGTGTCCTCAGCTCTTCAGACTTGGGGTATATGATTACACCGAGGCTCTGGATGAATGTGATGCATCTGAACATGGTCGGATGAACAGGTCATATGTTATGGGATCACGAAAAGAGTGATTTGATGTTCAGTAAAAACGAACACCAGTATTTACCACCGGTTTATTGCGTCACCGATAGTTATAATAATAATCATGACGACCACAATCGTGGTGATAATGGAAAGATGATGACAGGCAGGCAATCTTATGAATCTAGATTTCTTTATTCGCCAATGACAGGATATGGATAAAATGAAGGGTGTCCCATTGATGTGAACCGTAGTAGGTAAGGTTTCATGGTTTGGACGTTGGTTGCAGCAAACTGAAAGTCAGTAGCGCTAGTTATCCTCTCATGTTTCATCAAGACGCACTAATAAACAGTTCGCCAAAAACCTGCGACGTGCGAATGAGAAGACTCCGACTATACTCAGGCATCATTCTACCTACGTCCGACTATCCACAGCCGAACCAGTACAGAGTTGCAGGCAGTTTCGGTTTGATCGACAAAGTTCGTAAACATATTTTGATTGCATTTGATCAGCGTCAGCCTCAAAGGTTGATATTGACACGGTATTTAATACAAAAAACTGGAGCAGCGAATTCGTAAATGACAATGTGTGTTTGATCTCGTTGCTTTGGAACAGTCCGTCAACTCGTCAGACGTTCAAAATGCACCGTAAGCATCAGTGAGCATACAACATAAACCTAAAAGGTCTTCCAACTGTTGGAACTGTCTGGAAGATCGTTTTGGACCTATGAGGCTCTGCGATCTGAGCGATTTCGGAAGTTTACCTGCATACGTGCGCGGTTACTTTGAGGACTGATTTTCCCCATAGTCCTTGTCATTTGATAGAATTACGGATCACCACTATGCGAAGAATGTGGTTCAGACGGTACCCTTGAACCTCGCAGAAATCGATCTGGTTTATGCTGAAAATCTTTGCTGCACGGAGTTATGGTGCAAGAAATAGCGCACTATGGTTCGTCAGACCAGGGAACAAGTCTTTGTCTTTTAATACTGCACAGAACGACAACTGCACTAGCATAACCTATATCTGCGAACCTATGATTGCGTGGAGCTGAGTGCACAGATAGTCCCGTGGTACATTTATTTTCCGATCAGTGACAAAGTGAAAGAGTTGGTTGTTGACAACTTTGCCGTAAGCAGAATTGTTCATCGGTTACTGTCTCCCCTTTGATGCATGTTCGGATGAGGATACTCGTTCTTAGGTTCTAATTTCCAAGGAAACTCGTCGACTCCCAGAATCAACCAGAGGGCGCTCGCCTGATTGAGGCACTGTTAAACAGAACTTATTTGGTTACTGGAACTTGGAAGATTCTTCTGAGATGCGGCGTGATTTACAGACATTTCACACAGAAACACGGCTGGGGTGGTATTCAACAATGCTTAGCCCCTTGTTGTCTGGCTAAGACATTGGTCGTTTTGATTCTTAGATGGTCTCCACAGGCCATCTGGTGACCTACGGACATCATTCCGAGGTGACCCAACATTCCTTATTAAGTGAATCAGTTTGAAAAGTTCTAATAATTACCGAGGACTTCCGTACTATTTTCCCTCTCTGAACTGTCATGTCTGATTACATTTGGCTCTGGGACTTATAGTCCACGACGTGTGGTTTACTGATGTATGGTCCGAGCTTTAGCATAGGTCAATAAAACTCGTAGTAAAACGGCAATAAAGCACTGCATTCCCCAAGTGACCCTAGATTGTGGGCTCCGTGTGCGCCTTCGGGCAGGCGAAGTATGCTGAGATGTCTGTGCTGTGCGAATCTAAAAGTGGTCACAAGTCCAGTGAACAGCTGGCTTGAGTGGTGAGTTAAAACTTTCAGCATCCTTAGCTGAAGGGGACCATTTTCAGAGTTCTCTACACTAACTCACGACTGACTGTCGACAAAATTTATGGGGTAGAAACACTCTTTGTGAGATGAACCGGTTCGATTTGCCAGTCTGGGCTACTCTGTTGTTACAGGTGAACAGGGAAATAACTTACGGAGCAAGCAGGCTGAATAAACTAAGATAACCATATCCCTTGAATACCAAGAGGATGAGTATATTTTTTTGTGATCTGAATTTGACTCAAGGCTGAACAGCCTCGTCTGATGGTCTAGTCATGTAAGTGTCATTGAATTAGCGGGTAACAGAGAATTCTGATTTTTATTATTATCAGAATTGGGAACACCAAATTGAGGCGATTTGATAAAGTAAGCATGAAAATTTCATCAAGTTGACGTTTTCAAAATGAGCCAAAGACGCTAATGAGGATGGTATTTAGCTGAATGTTCTGGGATGCAATAAAACAACACAAGTAATCAGCAGGGAAGGGTGGAAAAAGATCTCTTATGCGATACGAAGTTTGAATTTCCCAGTACGGAGAGACAGGCTTATCTATCAACAACTTAGCCAGCTTGTGGTAGGCCAACTTTGGATCTCTATGGGCAGATTACAGTTGAGTGCCACTGTTTTCTTCATATTTATTTCCGCATGTTTTTTTATTTATCACGGTCAAGCTTGTGTTACTGCTGAGTACGGGAGTAAAGGCCGAAGCTACCTTGTGATCTGTATTTTCGTTGAATTTAGGCTGGCATATTTCATCAGCATTTATTTTATGAATGTTGGTCATCATCACGACGTCAGAAGTTTTGTGTATTTTTATGAACATGATATATTTAAAGTCTTTTTTGGTTTTTGAAGGTCCAATAATGTAATGAGCTTATAAAACAAGTGTACGAAATTTTTGAAGGCTAAGGAACGTTCTAACTAGCTATCCTCTGAAATACCCAGTCTTGTGAAAGTTAGTGACTACCATACTATGCTTGCTTAAACGAGTAATAAAAGCGTCGAACATTTCCGAGAGAAATTTGAAGTGCGGTCCCACGAATAAACTTCGCAGCTGAGCAGAAATGACCCGCGTTGAAGGTACGTTATGGAAACCGTAGTAAACTATTTTAACGAGGTTTATATTCTCATAATAGCAGTACACATCTAATCTTTCTGGACTGCACGAAAGCAAATTCGATGACCGTTTTGATCAGACGCCTCAATGGGACAGTTTACCCCTCAATTCGCTTTGAGTCCTACGTGTTAGTCGTTTTCACTCCACCGGTCCTGTACCCATTGTTTGAATACACAATTTATATACAATTTTATATACACAATTTATATATACAATCTATTATAACAATTTTATGCAATTTATATACAATTTAACGCCAACCCTATTCCAAAAGGTTACCAAACTAAATATATCAGATAGGCCGCCAAATGAAAAGGGTTTTATAAAATAGATTATTCTAACAAAATGGCTCCCTGAAAAGATCGTTTCAACGCAACTTGAGGCCAGATCTTAACGTGGGCAGAGTTACGCCAACCCCAGTAAACGTGGTAACGTGTTAAACATTGCTTCCAACTCACAACTGACCATGTGGCGACACACATCTGTCACCATGTATCAAGAAACTAGCCAACTGAACAGAAGTTCATTTATTCAAATAGTCTCAACTTTACATGTGGTTGCTTACGTAGCATCTGAATTTGCGACCGTGTCATAATCGATAATCCCGCGTACGTCGCGCACACCTCTTGATTAACCGAGACTTTGGCCGAAGAAGTTGGACGAATTTTTGTGTGCAGCTATGATCGTTCTAAGTTGCGGCTCCAGCCACCGTTGCTCTTCGATGATCCATTTGAGAGACTGTGAGCTATTTGGTAGTCTGTTGGTAATCCGGATCTCTGGATTTGGTTCGCTTGCGTCCTAATATACTGTGGCATTTTGGCTCGCATGGCCTCGATTTCCATACTAGTTGGCTTCGGTGTCCTTGTTAGTTTTACTCACGCATTTCCACTACTCACAATTAGATAAAGTCGAATCTGAACTAAATTTCACCAGAAGCATACTTGAGGTTCATCTCAATCACCAGAATGATGGATACTTAGGTTAATGTATGTTTGTCACCAAATTTTATGACTGTACTCAGCCTACGAACGAACTATTCAATAGAAGACTGTACACACTATTGCTAGCTCATGCTTCCATTTCCGAGAATGAATGGTGTAAGTTGTTAGTTATTAGTGAAGTTGTGGTTCTCACACCCGTTCATCCACGTGACGCTGATTTGTGACATCACGTGTTGAAGGTCGTATACGATGCCCATTGCATTGACACTCCGTCCGGTTGCATCGAGCATCCTACTACAGGTTTGCTAATGATGTTTTGTA